AGTGTTAAGAGGCAAGTCGTGAAACACTGGTAGCAGTTAACTGTGTTATAGATTTAATGATAGGATATTATCGTGTGTCCTAAAGTCGCGGGGCCAGTCGTGTAGAAACGAATATAACACTGACAATAAAAACCTATCAATAAGAGAAGCCAAGGATTCGAGATCGATAGATGGTAGTTTGCTTCTATATTTTTATAACAGTCTACACTGCGCAAAGAAATGTTCGAAAATGAAAAATTCCACACCGTTTACTTTCACCTTGCGTTCTTAGATACTTCTCACGTTTGAAGAAAAGAAGAGAAAGAAAAATAAAAATAAAAAAACGACTGTATACTTTCTTTGCTTGCAAAGACGAATTAACCAGACGAAGAGAATTCTTCCGGGAATGACAATTTCCGGGACCGTTTGTCAATTAATTCTAACGAATCCTTCGAAAGAAAAAAAAGAAACAGAAAAAGAAAAAAGAGAATCGAAATCACGAAACGAACGAGGATTTACAGATATGGAGGCACACGCATACGGCTATGTGTACATATATATATATTTTCGTAAAGTCAATGTGTATTTTATTCCAAGCCATGTATGTCTCTGTGCAAACTTGTTGTTCCAAGCCGTGTCTTTTATAAATCGATATTGTTGGATCAAACGACGAAGATTCACGTTTTACGATAGTTGTCAAATCTCGATGTGATTTAAAGACAATATTAAATGTTAACGCGTTAAATTAAACAGACGTTACTGTTAATCGTCGAAATGACTTTAATTAATATAAATCATTCGTGGTTGCGTGCTTTTGGAAAGACAGATCAGTCAGGCGAAATACGTGAGAAATCGTACGTGGAAAGTTGTATTGCGATCTCGTTCAATTAATTTTGCTGTATCAGCAACCACAAACTTTTTGTTGCAATGGAAACGCGCTACAGCGTAATATGTGTACAAGTGGATCGTGTTTCTTTCGTTTAACTCGTACCCAGCAGACTAACCAGAGAAAAAAAAAACTGATTCGTTTTATTCTTTTCTTCCTTTCTACTTTGAGCCATATCAATCGTGGTGAGGGAATTTTTTGCCGCATTATAATCATCGCGGAAGAAAAGCGTGAAGCAAAAACGAATCGAGATCGAAAAATGATTCGATCGACAGATCAGCGATATGTTATAGTCTTCCGTTCTTTTTTCTTTTTTTTTCTTTTTCTTAGTTTGTTAACATGTATTTTGTAAATATATTCCAGAAACGTTCCCATTCGTTCTCCCCCGAATTATTTTGTGGCGCGCGTTCTCTCCAGAAAAAAAGCGGCGGAAACGCGCGTGACAAAAACCGGCTAAAAGTATCTGTGATTATTGACAATATTCGCTGTTCGATTCTCGTCTAAATGTGTAGAGCGATAAGAAGCTTCGAAGGATTAAGAGCCTTAACATTCAAATCTATGTATGTTATTGTTATCGTGTAGTCCTGTTACGAGTCAACAAATAAATATATTGAGAAATATTTACGATACAATCACTCTTTTATCTTTAACCCATGAACGTTACAAAAGCCAAAAATTAATTAATCACGGCAGTATCGATACTTTTCCCGCAACTGTTTTTAATTCCAGTGATTTTAACGGCGATATCTTTATTTCTCGAAAGCAAAGTTTCGTTTTTAGATTATCGAACTTGATCAATTCATTCCAATGAAAATTCCTTAAAAAAGAGAAAGTAATGATAGTATCACAATGATAGTGAAAATCAAGTATTGTAGTGCTGATAGATAAGTGAGATGAAAATAGATAAATACAAGTGTAGTAGTTAGTAGAAATAGATGAAAATATAGGATAGAGAAGATGGATTGAAGAAATAAATGCAGTAAAATAGTACATAAAGAAAAAAAGGAAAAGGGGGTGAGACATTATTATGTACGCTTCTATTTTAAAACAGCAAATTGAAATGAAAAAGAAACTAATTTTATTGCATTATCTGTTGATCATACAGAGTAGTCTTTTTTACTTTTCCATTCGCACAGACAATAAAAATTTCTACGTTATCGACTATTAAAAAAAAAAAAAAGAAAAAAATCGAACTTGAAATGACTGAATATATTTTTTAAACATCTTTTCAACTGATTTCGTTTATTTCTATACTCTTATATTCCCCTAATACGATACTTTATTTCCGAGATCGTTGGGCGCTCTTGAGGACTGTCTTCTAATAAGAATAACAGGAAACCATCGGACGCAGGAAACGTGCGCCAACTTCTTACTGGACTGTTCTCCTAGTAAGAAAATCGCGCGAGGAAGATAACAGAGAAGCATGAAATGCAGCAAGCAAGTCATCGTTTAATTAACTCTTGATAGTTATGTTCTGCTGGTGAACACGTTGGACGCGCAATAACAGTAAAGCAGAATTGCAAAAGAGATATCGGACGATCTCTTTCATTATTGTGCTCTCCTAGTGAGAGAATTCATTTTTCGACGCTTGAAGAACGTCGATGGAAGCTTTCTGAATACAGAAGAGAATGCACAATCGAATGAATGACCAGAAAGCTATGTCGTTAAAAATGTTTGAACATAACTGTTGGTTAACAGTGTTTTAAAATTATTCGAATATTTAAGACAATAGAAAATGATTCCAAATCAGCGAAAATTTAGTTTTACTATTAGAAATGATTTATGATTGAACAAATTTTGACCGCAGTTTACAAAAATATAATTATATTTTTTCTTTCAAATTTTTAGACATGATATATATCAGTCGAGGAACACAAGTAAAAGTTTGTTATTTATTACAAATGTCTCAAATCACTTTTGTCTTAAGACAATCAAATCTATTTCTAAAAAAATGTTGCATAAAAACCTATATACATTATAAATGTATAATTTTTATATGAGTATTCTGAATGGTATAAAATATATACAGCGGAAAAAGTTGAGTCCTCAGTTAGACAAATGTAACTACGAAAAGTCTTAAATTAATTGTTTCAAATGTTATTTGCCAATTAAATATTATACGAGCCAGTATTTCGATTTGAATAGAATTTGTAAATCTTCATACATGCGTGGGATATTGAAAGAAAGTTAAGGATCTAATTAGACAAATGAAATTTAAAAAAAAGTTTGCAAATTAATCTTCTTAATTAATTTTTTTTTTGCAAATGAAAATTTGATCAATTTATAGATATTGTAGCGTCGTATAGCGCCCAATTTCTTGAACTAATTAATTTATGTAGTTTACAACAGATGGCAGAACATTATTCTGATCTGTAAGTACGATGATCGATAAATAATAAAGTCATTGTACTACAAAGGAAAATTTTATAATTTATTTTAACGTTTACACGATACAGAATTTAATGGATGAATTACGATTGACGACTGTTTATTAATTTCTTATTTACTATTATATATATTCTCGGCAATTTGCTTGTAACACGGTAACCAATAATTTATTGTATTTCCATGGTAGCTTTTTATAAGACTTAATAGATGTCGCTACAAACAGGTAGGTAATGTAGATTCTCTTTTTGTCCACAGACGAGGTATAATTGGCAATTCAAATCTAGATTGTTATTTTATCGACTACATTAATTAATTATTTAGTTCTTTTTAAAAATTCTTAAATTTTGACCTAAAATCTTAGTCAGTCTTATCACTAGGACTAATTA